AATAAAGATTTTCAACTTAACAATTTTGAAAGAAAAATACCCAGTATACAATTAGGTCTATATAAATTACGTTCCTTTGAAAACCCAATGAATTCAATTTTTTAATCTAAGCAATGAGTCAGTTGCATTACTCTCTATCTGACAAAATTTTCTTCCTTTATGATAAGAGACAACTTCTTTGAGATTTCTTCATGGAGCACGATGGGCATATATAACATCGAAGTGAAGAGATGACAAGGTGCAGATAAGAACAGTAATGAAAGTATTACAACACACTAAAAAGACGCGCGTTTTTAAATGCAGACATAGATTTTTTAACCAGCAAAAACAGCTTTATTCTAGGGACTTTAGTGTATCAATGGAAAGCTTAACTCAGGATGTGAGCAGTTTTTTATACCACATCAAACTATGCCAAATAGTTGTGAGGAAAAGTTGTGCAAATTCTAATGCGTTGGGATTTGAATGTAGCGAAGGGCAGCAACACTCATCATAACTAAGGGTTATGGCAGAAATAGTGGCGCTGAGTTTGTGAGAGGTTCAGCAAATCTAGTGGGCAAGACACATTTATAGCCACGCTGAATCCGGTTTTGCATGGCAGTTGGCGCGACTGTGTTAAACTACAAAAGCACATTTGACTCCATAAGTATGCAATGAGTTGAGTCACGAAGTTCTACCCTTCTGCCTGAGCAACTAACTACCTCGGCCCATCTCGACCATTTCCTGCCATAGAGAAAATCCAGGAAACAATCCTATGCCGAGTCAAGCTGGACGACTTTTCATCTCCAGAGTTATGGAATAGTGAGCATCAGCTTACGCGAACTTGCATCTTCTTAGCAAAATAATGCAGATACTTGAGATTATTCAAAAAGCTTCGTTCTAAGCTGAGATATGTCGGTGTTTGCGACTATGCGCCAAAAACCGCAAAAATTTTCCGAGCCTTGACATAACAAAACTAACAAAGCAACCTAACAAAACTCGCATGAACCTTTCTTTGCTTCGAATTTCAACAGGCGGTGACCGTAACGACAAGGCACCCAGGCGATCTGCAAGAC